AACGCACAGACATATAGACATACAGACACCCATTGATAGTTCGCTTTTGTTGTCAGTGTGTGGGAGCTGTCGGTTTGCTCGGTTTCTGTTTGTTAGCCGCCTTTTGTTTTATCTCCACCACCACCACCAGCAGCAGCAGCAGCAGATAGCCCCCCACACCGCAACCCATTCCCCAATTTACTACGAATATCCTCTGGCAAATGCCGCACTGCAGGAACACTTCGAGTGTTAGTTAATCACTGGAATGCACATACAAAATTTAAAAAAATAACAATTATAGTTTCTGGTTCTTAGTAAATATAAATAAATAAACTTATATTTTCTCCGAAAGAAATCCTATCTTCTGCCAGTAAACCTCTTCCAATTCAGCGGCACTTTTTCTATATTCAATCTGGGTGGGGGGGGTCTTTCCCCAAATAGTTTCCCAGGCTGATTTTCACTCAAAGCGACACAGAGACGCGACTCACACACAGATACACGTGCACTCACACACTCGTGGGACCCACATGTTTGGCGGCTTTTTCGCTTTGACATAATCAAAACCAAACCGAAAACCCGACCCGATCCAAGCGCACATATGACGCGGCAATCCCCGAAATACAACAAAAAAAATACAAAATACAACAAAAAACGAAATACGAAAATACCAAAATGAGAAGCGTAGCGGGGGAGCCGAGCCAGAGGCAAAGGCAAAGGCAAAAGCAAAGGCCGATGTCGCTGTGCCGGTGGCGGCGTCCACTCAAAGCTAATGACCGACAAAGCGTTTTGTATTATTTTCAATTTCATTTTCACTATACACAAACTACGAGTATTTCTACGCCCCGCGAGTCGGACACTATACGCTTCGAGTGTCGCTGGTCGCCCCTACGCTACTCTACCCTGCTCCACGCTACGCCCGTCTGCATTAAATATTATTAAGATAAGGCAGAAAGGGGAGTTCGCTTATCAATCAGACGTCAGAGGGTACCGCCGACACCCCGTACATTTTGCAAAAGAAGAAGAGCCCAACTCTGGGGATGGATCCAAAACAACACGGTTCTTCCATCACATTTATTGAAAACTAAAAGAAACAGCGAAAAAGAACTGGTAGATTGTGGCTATGGTATGGTGGCTCCCATACTCGTAGCCTCGTAGATGTGTGTATTGTTTCTCCAGAAATTTCCCATGTATTTCCCTCAGGTCTGGTTGTTTGTTGTTTGGGCTTACAATTTACATATAGGCTAGAAGTTATGGGTCTTTCAAAAGAAACACAAAGACAGAGACAGAGAGAGAGAGAGAGAAGTACGAGAAGTTCCAAGAAGACGGCTGAAAGGCCAGAGCCAATTGCTAAATCAACACAAAACACGGCCCCAAAAACATAAGCCGACGGGACCAAAACAAAAACCTCAAAAGTCATTACATATATCTTGTGCCCCATGCCCCCTCTCCGTCCTACAGGCTCTGCCTCCCAGCTGGATGCTGTTGGGCTGCTGCTGCTGCTGGAGCTGCAGAAATGCAGAAGCTACGAGCTAACAGCTTTTTATCTTTTGGCACAAGGCGACCGAGGCAGGCGGCTGGAGGAGCATTGTTTGGGGCCTCCGAAAACCAGTCCTGTCCTCTCCTGCTGTCGAAGCCCGTTCCGATTCGAACCAAAACAGAGCCAAGAGCACCATATAGGGTCGCTGGCATGTCATCGAAAAGGCGAACGCTCGCTCGAGCGGCTCGAACGGCAACTTCCTGGCTAATATTACGAAAATTGCTTATACCAGGGCTATTGGCCCCGCTCTACGGATGCTGCCTGCATGCCTGCCTGCTCCACCCTCCCCGCTCTTTGGCACTCTTTCCCACTCTCTTTTGCGGTGGATCAGCACCAAAATAAAAGTCCAGAGTCAAAGTTGGAAGTTGCAGCTTGAGCTTGAGGAGCAGCCACCAAGCCACCAAGCAGTGCCTGCCACAGTCGCGAGTACGAGTATATGGCGGCGGCCTGTCAGAGCAACCAACGCGATTCGCCTGTTGCCTTCTACCGTAATTCACAACAACCATAATAATACCAACAACAACCATTATAATAACAGCAAAAGGCAACCGAAGCAAAGCAAAGGCAAAAGTTGTGAAACCCGCATCGGCGTCGGGTACAGTGGGTAAACGTTTGATGGGAAAATATTTAAAATAAATAAATAAATTTCATATTTAAATTAAATACACTTCATATTAATTTAAATATTAAATATTATTTATGTTTTAAATTGAATTCTATTTAATTTAATTATTTTTTAATGATTTAAATTCAAAATTGAATTAAAATATGGGTGTGTTTTCTTTTACGATGCCATTTTTCTCTGAGCGATAAAATACTTATTTTTAAAACCATTTCTTTGGATACCTAAGAACTTCTAATTCCCTTAAAATCCTAGCAATCCCCTCTCCATTTCTAGTGCTCGTACTGCCACTCCCACTCATATTTGGAGTATAAATATCTCTGTTAATCCCCATTTAAACATTCACTCTGTCGTGTGTGTGTGTCTGGTCCCACTGTGGTGACGGCCTCTGGTGCCGCGCCTCAAAGCGAAAAGCGCATCTTTTGAACAGAGCGCAAAGCGCAGCTTGGCCCGCCACAGCATCCGATCCGATCCGAAGGCAGCAGCAGGGCACTCAACGCGATGCCGCTCGCGCGGTGTGTATCTCAAAGATACAAAACAACGTACATACACTCGCTGGATTGCTGTACGGGTCCGTCCATCCGTCCATCTGTCGATCGTCGTTCCGTCTCTAAAAACCGCTTTTGTGTATGGCCGCCACCCCGCCGCCGCCGTCGCCGCCGTTGAGATGTTTGGCATAGTTGGCCAGGCCACGGAACTGGTTGGGATGTGGATGTGGCTATGGTGGAGTCGAAGATGGAGTTGGGGTTGGGGTTGGGGTTGGGGATGGAGTCGAAGCAGCAGCTTGCAACGACTCTGCCGCCTGCCGCCTGCCGCCTCTTGCTCAGTTATTATTATTTTTGCTTGCGGCGGCGGCGGCTGCGGCGGCTCTACCTCTTGTTGTTGTTGTTTTATCAACGTGAGGGTTTTAAAAGGTTTTTGTGTATGAGAGTCGGTCTGTCCGTGCGTCCGTCCGTCTGTCGGTCTTGGCCTCGTAGCAGCTGCCTCTCTGTCCCTTACCCTTACCTCCTCTCTACCTTTACGTTTTACCTTTACCTTTGCCTGCAACAGGTAAGAAATGTTCGTACGTTGTTTTTAAACGGCGTCGGCATTTCAATTCGCTTTATTTTCATTTTTTTTTTTTCATTCTCTCTTTCTCTCCATCTCTCTCTTGGCTCGCTCTTCCTTGGCTCTCCTGCCTCATCGAATTTTTGTGGCTGCCGCTGCTGCTGCTGCCGCTGGTGCTGCTTTCTTTGAAGTTGCATGCTTCGGTGTGCCTTTGGAGGTTTCCTTTGAATCCCCCGGTGCATCTGCAAGCAATTAGTGTATGGGGGCCCCCTGTCCTGTCCTGTCCTGTTCTCTTCTGTTCTGTCGGCCATCAGAGCAGAAGGAGACTCTCATCTCTCGTCTCTGGACTCATCAGGAAGGGTTCAAAGTGTTGGCCTGGCATTTAATTGGCGCAGACCAATTGCCAGTAGAGGATCCCTCTCTCTCTCTCTCCCTCTTTCTCGAAAAAAGGGAGTACGGGGATGGAATACTCGTATTTCCAATGAATTTGTGGACAAAAAAACAACAGAATGGGAAGAGAAACCAAAAAACAAAAAAAAAAAAAAAATAACATTGATTGATTGATGTTCCTTCATCGATTCGGACATCAATGTCGCGTCTCGCTCGTTTGGCAGAAAGGTCGTCCGGCATTTCCAATTCCAATTCTCGGTTCGGGACTTCGGGCAGTGATCAGGGGTTTCTGCGGTACTGGGTCCCGGTCCCGGTCCCGGTCCCTTGTTTATTTACGCGTATGATATGCTACCCATGACTAAGGAGAAGGTCTCTATAGGCTACGGCAGAGCAGGGGCAGCAGCAGCAGGAGCCAAACGTTCTATTGATCACGAATGCAGCGGCGATCCGATCTCCGATTCGATTCGATTCCGATCCCTACTCCCTGTGTATCTCTCTACAAACTCTTCGACCGAAAAATAAAAAAAACTGTCTATTTATTTTCCATTCGTCGTTTTTCTTTTGATGTTTTGTAGTTGTTATTCCTCTGTTATATGCCCCGATTTTCCATTTCGTTCTATTTTTGTGTGTCGTCCCATCCCGCTCCCTCCTCCATGGCTGCTTGTGTATCCGCGTGTATCTGTATCTTCAAGATAAAAAAAAAAAAAATACAGTCCGCTGGGGGATTGCCTACATTTCATTCTTCTTCTAGGCCTTTGTTATTGTTGTTTCTGCGTAATTATTGGAAAAGGATGTGGGAGAAGCCCTTGACTGAATGAATTCTGAATAGAAGGTACTATGTGTGCGTGTGTGTATCTTCCACTGTGCGTAGTATGTGTGTGTGTGGCAGAAGGGCCATATTTCAGATCTTCAATGCCAGATTGTTGTATGATAATGGGGGGAAAAGGTCTCTGATAACACATGCAGCACAAGAGAATGAATACAGCAGGCAAGGAGGCATTTTGCATTGAATATTTAACATTTAAATGGCGTTTGGGAATATATTTACGGAGAGATTAAAAATTAAACGATTTGGATGGGAAATGAAATGAAACGAAAAATTGGATAAGTAGAGGATTAACATTCCCTGTGACCTGGCAAATGATTACAGCAGAATGCTAGAAATAATTATAGCAAATCAATCCCAAATATAAAGAATATCCGAACATTAGTTCGATTTCCAGGTATCAAATATCCCCCATTTTAATTCAATTTATTTGCGTATTTTCAACAAATTGTTTCCCTCGAATTCCCTGCTCTGTCACAACTTTAGCACTCCCCGAGAGCATTACCATCAATCTTTTCATATCTGTTGGCAACTATCTTCTCCCTGGAAATTCACTAAACAAGTTGATGGAGAACGTTTGGCGTGGCTTTCTCGCTTACCTGAGAATTGTTTGTAGCCGCCGAGTATTTTATGCTTCCACCATTTGACAATGTTGCCCGCCATCTCTGCTCGAATATTTATATATACACTCCACTATATATATATTTATTTTCCTTTTGCTGGTTAGCCGTAGATGCAGTTACTGCTTGGCTTGGATATTTCGGCTCTTTCTGTTGTTGGTTGGGGGGGGTTGGTGTTGGTGTTGGCTGGTTGCTTGGTTGGGTTGAAAATTTACGAGCCGACAGAGAGCCGGGAGGAGGAGGACCAACGACCTGCAGCAGCCCAAAATGTTTTACGGCCTTTGTGTGTATGTGCTCTGCGCTGCTCCCCTGCTGGATATCCTTTTGTGTAAGGATCCCGGATCCCGTAGTTGTCCTGGGCTCTAATATACTCTCCTCTCCTCAGGTAGAAACTTCTGCACTGTGTTGTCCCCGTGTATCCCTCTGGATTGTTGTTCCTGTTTTATGCGCTGCCGCTGAGCGACCTTAATTTGTATCTGGGTATTATTTTCGACTGTGCGGGTGGCAGCAGCAGGACCAGAAACAGGACTCTCTCTCACTCTGTGGAGTGGCAGTGGCAGTGGCAGGGGCAGTGGCTGGAGGGGGAGTAGTCGTAAAAGTTTTTACAGCTCTGATATGCTGCATTTTAGTTTAATTTGCGCATATTGCGCCCTGTGTGTGTATGTTTGCGTATCTGGCAGATACTTTTGCTTGCCGCTGCGCGCGTAATTTTAATTGTAAAACATTTTTCGCCCCGACACGATTTGTTTTTGTTGTTGTTGTCGTTGCGCGACGTCGACGTAAATAACTTGGCGGCGAGCGAATAAACAACAAAATACAACAAAAAAGATACTCTAGCAAAAAGGCTAAAAACACGATTTATTTCCAAATGAATTTCGAGAGACGCGAACGGTGGGTGGGACTTATGCCGTGGTGGGGGGTGTTATTGTTGCGGGGGCGGGTTTTTCGGGTTTTTAGATTTTTCACTTGAATTTTCTCTCACACTTGTCGCGTATCTCACAGATACGTTTTTCAATTTATATTTTGATTTTCATTGCATATCTTTTCTTGGGAGGGGTACAAAACTTCACTTTGGTCCGTGGCTGTTTGGCGTTTGGCTGTTGTATGCCGCGGCGTATCTTCTAGAACGACGAGAATATCTCTGCTTCGGCTGGTATCTCACGGAACGACACACGACTCTCGCAAATGGACCGACAAAAACAAACTGAAACGGTACAAACGACTGCGGTACACGGGCGAGCGACTCGACTCGACAAAAGTGGTTGAGGGACCAGTTCTGTACCAACCCCACTATTTGTATGCCCTGGCCATGAGTTGCGCTCTCCGTGCGGGACCTATATCGAGTGTTTATGTGGCATGAAGAGCGGTTTCTTCCATACCTTTTAGCCACATGCCATGGCTCGCTCGCTCTCTCTCTCACTCTCTGTCTCTCTTCGGGTGCTCAAACTACGTGAGTGCTGAGTGCTTTTCGCATGGGGTATTGGCTCCAATGTTGGAGGCTTTGAGTGTTGTTTTGATATGAATTGGTTTTGTTTATTTAAGAGCATTTTTTGCGTGCTCTTTTGGGGCTGTGGCAGTGGATTTTTGATGCCACTTTTTGAATGGCATGCGGAAATTTGTAAATTTTCAATGGCGATTCCAACAAACAGAATATGATTACAATTTTTTAATAAATATTTTTGTAGCTATGCAGGCAAAGAAAACAATTAAGTTATCCTGTCTTTACCTGTTAATATATTTGCCTTTTTCTTGAAAATTAATGGGTTTCTGTTCACTTGTCAGCTTTACAACCTTAAATCTTGCACAACACCTTTCTAATCGTATGCAGCGTTTCTTTCATGGCGAGTGCAACATCTTCAAGTGCAACAATTTCCACGCCCCAAAAAGCGGAGCTTTCTTTTATGTTGTTGCAGCCAAACCCGCCTTTTGCCTTATGATTATACACATGTATGGATAATACCCGGTTTTAATTTGACTCCTCTATGCATAGCCGCATCGAAAAACTTTGATTGTTTTTAAATTTGAGCGGCAACACAGCACCACCACACATCTTCCATATCGAAGCCACTGCCGCCTGCTGAGCCGGAACATCAGGGCAATTACCCATAAAAAAAAGAAATAAAAGAAAAAAAAACACAACCGAGAAGTAACCCCAGACCCAAAGCCAAGCCAAGGCAAGCTCCAAGACCCGACGATAATAACAGAGCAAGGAGAATCCTGAATTACGCTGAAAGCAAAAGAAAAAAACACAAAGCTTTTTCTTTCTTCTCCGACGATCAAAAGCGAGTGGCGGCGGCGGCGGCGGGAGCCCGCGGGTCGGCACACCAGATTTTTCCCCCTGGTGCAGAGCCTCCCGGGGGTTCCACAGGCTTTCGCACCGTAAAACGTTTTCGGCTTTCGGGGTATAATGGCGCTGTAATTGAAGAAGAACACGCGATCGCGCAGCAAGAGAGGAGAGGGAGAAGTAGAACCTCCTTCTAACAGAAGGGTAACGTTACGTTTCGTTTCGTTCCATTCTTCTGCTGTGCCTGGATCTGGGCCCTCTTTCCAGCCTCTGTCTTTGTTCGACCTTCGTCATCGTCATCCATTGATCCATCGTCTTAATTTCATGATGTTCTCTCTATCAGATGCGGGGCCCCTGATTGATGTCAGGGATCTGCCCGCCCTGCCCTGCCCTGATATTGATTTATGTTTTCCCTACTCCTGCTGCTGCTCCTGCTCCTACTCCTCCCCCTGCTCTTTGCTCTTATCCACTATACCGCTCTGGGCCATATTCTGTTTAATTTCGCACAATATTTTGCACTGCGTTTGACAAAAGTTGATGTACGAGTATGGTACAGCCCTGTGTCAGCATTTCCACTTTGACTGCAAATGTAATTACCCAAAAACGAGTGGGTGAATATCCAGGCGGCGGCTGGATGGCATCGTCAGAGACTGGACATGGCTTGGGGAGCTGGGAGGAGCACGGCCCAGTCTGGGGTCTGGCTTTGGTTATCGTTTGGGGCCATGGCCATATGTGGATGGCAATAGGGTTTTGACATTTGCCCCGGACGATGACTGAGTGGCGGCCATGGCAACTGTCGCTGTAATTGACAAGCAAGCTGTATTGGAAACGCTCTCTGTCATTCTCTCTCTCTCTCGCCCTCCCAGCACCATCCCCAACTCCCTCTTTTTGTCCATGGCATAGCCCATCGCCTGTGCAGCCCGCCGCCCACATGTCTATGGCCAATCCTGATGAGGTTTTGAAGAGCCAGGATGTATTATTAAGTTATGGAGGCAGTTTGGCTGCTGGAGATAAATATAATTGCTTTCTGTCGAACACTATTAATAGGAAAATATATTCATTTTTACACTCGCACTTAATTTTATTTATTTAAAACGTATTCAAAGAACTTGCAAGCTATTAAAACATTATACTTTAATGAGCTGCCCCCACATATTTTCAGTAAAATTATGAGACAAACATAAATTAGATACGGGCTAGATCTCATTAAAAATATATATGTATGTGTATGTGCAAGTATTTTTGATGATCAAACTCAAGGAAATGTTTCATAATTATTTTTTAAAAGTCGTAAAATCTAATGAAATCAAAGGAAAAGAAAAATAAAAATCTTATACAGCGAGGGGGTCTTCGGTACATCGTCAAACTATTAAATAAATTAACTTTGTTGTAAGTGCTGGTCATAAATATTTATACTTTATTACGAGTATATGTATGTATGTTTTGTCATAAAATTCAAATGAAGTTGTCCCCTCTCAATGGTTGTCTGATGGGTAGGCTCTGGACAACGCGTTTATAAACAAATTTCCAAAGCAATTATGAATTGTAGTTTTTGGCGCTGTCGTTGTGGCTCTCCGATGGCGACGACGACGGCGACTGCGACTGACAGGAAATTATATTGTAAGGCCATAAAACTGACAGGCCTGGGCCCATGGAAGAACCAAATGAGGCTCCCACAAGAGATCTTGTGCGTGTCTTTTTTTTTTGGGCTCTTGGTAACATGTGCAACAACAGCAGACCGTTTGATGTCTTCTCTCTCACTCATCGTGTTCTTCTGCTTTCAAATGACTTTTACCCAGAAGTCGTTAAAAAAAAAAAACGACGAAAATTTCCAATTAATTTTGATAAACGCGGGCCCACAGCACCAAAATATATAAAATGCATATGGAATTGGTGCTGTAGGGAAAAATGTTGCTGGCTGCCCCCACCTTAAGCGGAAATTGTAAATGTGCATTGATTGGAGTGTGCAGAGTCGAGGGAGGGGCAGGTACCACCAATTGTTGCTTATTAGCCCGAAATCATTAAAAATCTATCTATCCAAACACCAACAATTTTGTCTACGAAATGAAGCCATTTCAATCAGCATTTTTTATGAGCTTCTTTTTGGGGGCTTTTTCGGCGCTTTTTGCCCGCTTGTTTCGACTGAAATTTTTACGATTTTACATTTACAAGAGTCGACCATCTATCGATGCCCATCAAACGATTAGGCCCTCAAAGAAATGTATGTATGTATACGAGTATGCATAGAGAGTTTGTCTGTTGTGTGGGGGGGATTGGGATTATGGTTGCTGTGGGACTTAATGACCAGATTGATGATGCCAAAAACCTGATGGGAAGCAATAGATTAAATGAGAGCTATAAAAATGAAATAACTCTGAGGGAGGCGATGCTGGAAAGTGGGTGAAGTTGGCCAGAGATCAGATCATGCCTGGCAGCTCATTTAGGGGATCTACTGGAATGTTGGATATGTATTTTCCGAGAAAATGTCCCAAATGAAATACATCATCTACTAGCGAACTAAAATGAATTTATATCAAAACAGAAAAAAATCCATCATGTTTGTTCCTGCTTAGCCGCCGCTGAAGCTGAGAGAGCGGCAGAGAGAGAGCTCATGTGCTCTCTTCGATTATCTCCTGGACCATGCTCTCCTGTTCCTGAGCCGCTTCTATGATCTCTCATTGAAAAATTTACAGTTGTTTCTGCCCAGCTTTTTCTCCCCTCTCCCAGCACATTCCATCACACAGTTGCACACTTCATTCACCCTCTCCGCCACACAACAATTTACATATGTATGTACTAACATGTGGTCACCTCACTCACCAACGCACAAACTTTCGCTCTCTTGGAGTTGGAGAGGGAGAGAAGACAAGCAGTAGCAGTCACAAATGTCAAATTGGCGAGCAATTAGCAAGAAAACCACCAGAAAGAGAGCATGAAAGGTGACAGAGGGAGAGCCACTAATCCGCCTACGCACAGAGCTGCATCTGCATCGCTCTCACACTTTTATTTATTTTGCGCGGTCCAAGCACGTATTCTCAAGTCAGCTCCGCGTTTTAGTCCTTGAAGTGTGAGAAAAAGATTAAAAACTCAACGGGAAAATTGTCGCGTAGGTGTGTAATGAAGTGCGTTTCAATATTGCAGTGTTTAATCATTGGAAATGTTCAAAAATTGTGTGCTTAGGGCTAGAAAATGTGCGGGTTCAAGAGCGGGGGCGAAGCGAGAAATGGCGGCAAAACGGCAGATCGAGAGACAAAAAGTGCGTAAATAAGTGAAAATG